CTGGTGTTGGAGGGTGGTAAGCAAAGGTAGGCAAAAAAAAATGGTAAGTAAAATAACTTATTTCTTTGAAATTATTTTCTCTACTTGTTATCGATTCCAGGATAAGTTTTTCTAAAACTTTTAAGTTAAAAATAATTTTAGCACTTCCAACCCTAAATACTAATAAAAGTTTCGAATAAATATCCTCGAACACAAAATTATTTATTTATTTTTCAAAATTATTCATTTAGAGATCTTCACACATATATAATTAATAACTATTTATTTAAATAGTGAGAAGCTAATTTTTCTAAATCCTCGGAATGAAGAAAATTATCTTGAAAGAGTTACACCTTATAATGGGTCAAAAAATATTTGAATAGGACTTAATGAACTGGTGAATATATCCAGCGAAAAGAGGACAATCTTTCTATTTTAAGCTTTTATTATTAACATCAATGCTAGACATTTTTAACCATTAAACCAACTTCTTAAATTTATGAAAATATTTTTTTTGAAAATGAGTTTACTTTTAATGTGAATAAGTAAAATAAATAAATAAATAAATATATATATATATATATATATAATATGTAACTTTAAATTTAAATATTTTGAGACCACCGTATACTTTGAATTAAGTTATGAATAAACGCATTTTTTTCTTTATTTTAGCGAAAGCTTATATTAAAGAAACATTATCTTAAATTAATTAACTACTGAACCAATTCTTCGCTTTGCTATAGGGGCTTACGTTCGACACTTTTTTAAAAGAAAAATATAGTTTGTGAAATTAAAATAATATGAATGAACAATTGAATGAAACTTTTATTTGAGGTATACAAAATTGGGTTGTGCATAAGTGTGTAAATAAATCAGATAATTTATTAGGAGTATATTTGGCATAATATACTTATATAAATTTATAGGTTAGCTTATATCATATTATTATTTTTTTTTTTGATAGCCTCGTATTATTAATTTTAAATGAAATAAAAGAAAATAATAATTCAAATATTTTTACATAATAAAATAATATTTTTTTAATTATTTTTTTAACTTTTTCATAGATCTTAAAAACTTTTAATTATTTTTTATTTTTTAAAATTTTTAATATATAAAATCCTTTTTACCTATTTACATCAAAATCCAATCCAACTCAACCCATGGACATTATTGACAATTGTATTGGTATATAGCAATTAGTAAAGCATGACATGATTCTCCGTTGTGTGGCTACTAGCTTTATCCTTAATTATGAATAAAAAGAAACATTATACAGTTATACTTTTGTCGTTATTAGCGTTGGGCCTCAATGGACCTGACTCCACTTGCATTCCAGAAACTATGGACTTCTTTGAAATCTGTTTTAAAAAATAGCTTTTTTATTTGGGTTTGTTGTTTGTCGTTTAAAATTATATAAGTTATGTCGTTTTAAAAGAGAGATAGATACAAGAAATAGAAATTATGAGAGAGAAAGTGAGTGATTTTTTTTAATTTAAATTTTAAATAAAAAATATTTTCTTGTATTTATCTCTCTCTTAAAATAACATAATTTTATGTCATTTAATATGACAAACATTTTTTCATTTTTATTTTTAGAACAAAAAAAACTTGTTTAATAAGACATGTTTTGTAAAAAGAAAATTTGAAAACTATAATTATTTTTTTATTTTCTGTTTGGTTTTTAACTTTAACAAAAAAATTATTTCCATAACTACTCTATGAAATAATTTTAAGAAGAAGAAAAAACCAGAAGTTCTCACCCAAAAGTCATAAAAGCTTCACAACTTGGCTACGCAGAAGAGACCAAAAAGATTTTCTTCAACATTTTCTTAAATAGCTTCTGCACCGACTGAAGATGAAAAGGTGACAAGACCGGAAATATGTATGATACTGTTACGGTACCAGCATCTATTCAATGAAAAATAAAAAATAATTGTATGTTTGTATGAAAAGGAGATAAAATTATTTTTTTATCTAAATATGACTTGTTGAATGGTATATGTATCTACTATAAGAATAAATCTTTGGTACTACTGTTGTACCTAGATTCAGTGCATCTTAGCAATGAGAGCATTATACATCAAAAGAGAGAAAAAGATTTGACAGAAAAAATAATAATTTATCTGACATGTAATATTATTATTGGTGAGATGGACTGAAGCTTTGGTACAGCAATAGTACCAAAAATTTATTCCTACTATAAATGTACAGAAGATGATCTCTACAAGACACTTCCTGACGGTGACACTTGCCTCTCAATGGTTTGACGGCACCGCTTAATAGCACGAGTCCTTTTAATACGCTGGTTTTTCTCATCTTTGTAGAATTTATAACTCCTTCAGGCTTCAGCACTACTTATTATGAATTGATTCTTTGTTGGGGTATGAAATTTTGTGATAAATAATCTACTGCATCATAAGATGGATGTGCCACGTGTTTTTCACACATCGTTGTCCCATTCTTTTCACATTCACATGTAGACTTTAGGTTTGGCCACGGATTTGGTTTTAAATCAACCCGATCTTTTTTAAGGATTAACATAATAAAACTCATATCTTGCTTGTTTTATTTCGCAATTATAAGTATTTTAAATTAAATTATTTAATAATTAATTATAGGGTTCTCTTTTTCCGTCGTCGCTGCAAATAAATTATCTGTAGTAAATTCAAAACGACGTAGTTTTGAAAGTAAATGCAGATAACTTATCTTGAGTAACTGCAGAAATATTTTTCTGTTAATTATAATCTTAAAGTTAATTCATTATCTTTTTTTTTTTTTTGGAGTTACCCAACCCTAATTACCTCTTTCAGGCGAGTTGGCTCCCTCTGGTATCCCCACGAGCTTCGACTCTTTGAGCCGGCTATGGGACTAATCCGGAGTGCGGGGGAGCAGTGATGGCTAAAGGTTCAGCCTTCTCCCCAAGAATGCATTCAGCAGGAATCGAACACATGTCCAACCCCACTAACTCAGCACCAAATTACCAACTGAGCTGCACCCATTGGGTAGTTAATTCATTATCTTATATAATTAAAAAATATTTATGATAAATATAAATTAATAAAAAAAGTTAATATAATTACTTTTATCAATAATAAAATTAAATATAACATTTATTTAAATGAGATCTACAAACATGTTGAAACGTATTAAACATTAAACGCATTACAGACAAAAAAAATTAAAATATTACTATTTTAATAAATAATTACGAATAAGTTGTTATTTCGAACCTATATATGAATCTATTGCACTCATTCACGTCCAAATTAGGAGTGACTCTCAAGGCATTCACGCCTAAATTAGGCGTGACTCGTCTGGTGTTGACACGTGACACCAAAAATTAATAGTTTAACCGTAAAACTTTATAAGGCCATAACTTTTGACTCGGGTATCCGAATGAGGTAATTCTTTTTTTGATTCCACATAAATTTTTGAGATATACGCAATGACATCTCATTTGATGTATTTTATCTCTCACAAACACAATTCAAATTTGCAACAATGATACTATAAAGATGACACCAAAGTGGATTAACTCATCTATAAATAAGGATACTTAATGTCATATTAAAATATATACTTCTACCAAGTGTTTGAAAAAAAATAGTGTACAAGGTTATTTATTTAATTATTAAAATATATACAAATTTATATAATATTCTACCAAGTGTTTAGAATATTTATTTAATTATTTTCTTTATTAATACAAATTTTTCAAATTTATTTTTGAGTTTAAATCACAAATTAAATCTTTATATTGTTTTTCTTATTAATAATAATTTTTTAAATTTTTTTGGTAATACACTATATAATATAATTATTGCAAATTTGAATTGTGTTTGTGAAATATAAAATGTATCAAATGAGATGTCATTGTGTAGATCTCAAAAAGTTATGTGGAATCAAAAAAAGAATTACCTCATTCGGATACCCGAGTCAAAAGTTATGGCTTTTCGAAGTTTTACGGTTCGTAAATTGACTTTTTTGCCACGTGTCAACACCAGATGATTCACGTCTAAATTTGGCGTGAATGCCTTGGGTGTCACGCCTAATTTGAGCGTGAATAATCACGCCTAATTCGGACGTGAATAAGTGCAATAGATCCGTATATAATTTCAAAACAACTATGTATTCATAATTATTTATTAAAATAGTAATATTTTAATTTTTTTGTCACGCATTACCTAATGAGTTTCCAATAAGATAATGTTTGTATTTCCCTAAGTATAATTGCTCTTATATTTAATATATTTTAAGAAAATAGTTATGTCATGTTGTAGGAAAATGCTTAGGTCATGTTATAGATATAATCAATGTGAGCCCCATCACTTTTTCTACAACATGATATAACTATTTTTCTATATTAAAACAATAAAATTAAAGAAAAAAAATGTTTGGATGCCAAACGTTAAGATGGTAAGAATCACAATCATCTCTCTATTGGATATTTCCAAATTGAGCATATCTTTGGTACTATGTAGTATATACTCATTTACTAAAAGTAGAAAATAATGATGGTTTTGGATAAAATAACCATACAAGAAAGGATAAAATAGTAAAAAAATATATTACATTTTTTAAATTGAGTAAATGATGCACGGAGTTTTCGGTACTACTGTAGTACTATAGATATTTCCAAATTCAGGCTACAGAGCCCGTTCTGTTCCAATATGTTTACTGTACTGAGATTGATTGCTGCGGATATTTGGACCTTGATGATTATTTTAATATTCTGGCCCAATATACGGCCCAAATATTTGCTCAGATGAATACGGGCTTTTAAGAAAAAGCCCCTTGACATTACAAGAGATTCGAAATTTTCGACCGTTGGGGTCGTTACAGACAAGGCAACGGTTGGGATCAATGAAAAACTTCCATAGCCGTTGCTGCCTTGACACCTTTTTGCTTCTCCAAAACCTTGAAACAGACAATTATAGATTGAGACACAGAGAGATAAAGAGAGAGAGGGAGAGAGAGAGAGAGAGAGAACCCCACTCACTCATCAGTTATCACCTATGGGCTGCGTCTCCTCAAAACACATCAAGAAAGACCTCAAGCAACAAGTCACTTTCAACAATGGCGGCGGCGGCGGTTACATAAACCATGTGGTTTCTCTCACTTCCACCACCTACGGAGCACTCAGGTTGGACAAAGACCATTCCATCGTCACAGAATGTGTTGCAGTTGCAGAATCCAAGCCATCCCCTCCTCGTCGTCGCGAAGAACCAGAGGTCATCAATGCTTGGGAACTCATGGAGGGTCTCGAAGATGGAGTGCCCATTTCAAACCAGCCAAAGAAAAGCCCAAAGTCCAGTCCTTTTCTTCGTGGGTTTATAGCTACTGACCCCAGAAGTCCCTTGAAGTTCCTCAATCAATTTGGATCCCCCAAGTCCCTGAAGAAGTTCACAGGGAAGGAGAACAAACTTCAACTTAATGTCGTCAGAGGAGGCATGAGACGCTTGGATTATAGTCCCAAGGGAATTCTCAAACCCACCAAATTTTCTCCTAATTCATGTAAGAATAGAAGGAACAGTTTTGGGAGTGACACTGGTTGTTCCTTGAGGAGGAGTCCTACTCCTCTGTTTGATCCGGAGCTTCTTGCTTCCTATGAAAAGGAACTCTCTGAAGAAGAAGAACAGATCAAGAGAATGGTTTGGGCTACGCCGAAAACCCGAAGAGCCAGAAAATCTCTGGACTCACAATCCCTTATTCACATGTTTGAGAACAAGTGCCCTCCGGGAGGGGAAAATTGTGTTGTCATTTACACGACCACGTTACGAGGAATCAGAAAGACGTTCGAGGACTGTAATAAAGTTCGATCCATTATTGAATCGCATTGTGTGCACATGGTTGAGCGTGATGTGTCTATGGATTCAGGGTTCAAGGAGGAGTTGCGGAAGCTAATGGGGACGAAACAAGTTAACGTTCCCGTTGTGTTTGTGAAGGGAAGGTTGGTTGGAGGAGCTGATGAAGTTTTGAAATTGGAAGAAGAGGAAAAATTGGGTGTTCTCTTTGATGGAATCCCGAGGGCATTAGGTGGGTGTGAAACGTGTGCCGGTGTGAGGTTTGTGATGTGCATGAAATGTAATGGAAGCTGTAAGGTTTTGGATGAGGAGCACAAGAAAACGGTGAGGTGTGGTCACTGTAACGAGAATGGAATAGTTCAGTGTCCTATCTGTTGTTAAGGTTGTTGAAAATGGACATGTTTGGTGTGGTGTGTTGGTTTGGATTTTGGGATGGTTTCTGTTCTCAATTTCTAGGAAGAGACAGAACAAGTGCGTGATGTTTATTAAGGGTAGGGTTCTAAAGCGTCTTTTAGTACCCAGTATGTTGATGTTTATTTTACTGTCTTGTATTTGGGACACTAGTTGTTCCTTCACTAATCTAATTCAAATTTACACACATTATTAGCCTTTTTTGATAGAGTAAAATATTATGTTAGTTTTTCCTGCAATTATTACCACCGAATTGTTCAATTTAAGGTTATTGCTGGCTTGAGCAATCTGCCGTCTACTTTATGATACATTTCACTTACCAGCTTTTTTCATTCAATCCAAATATATTTTTATTACTATGTTTGCTGTTATGAAAAAAATTTGCAGGGGCATTGCAATTTGCATTGCATGGTCGCTGTCTAAAATCTAACATGAGAAACAATAAATGAATTATAGTGAGATATGGTGAGTGTTATTGACAGAATTTACTGCTAGATTTTGCTGATTTTATTAACGGTGTGTGAATGAAACAGATGTGTGTTTAGGGAGATTTTCATTGTGTTGGCTGACGGTGGTAATGCTTCAACTTCAAAGGAACTTGGAACCTGTTGTTTACAAAACATAGTATCATGTTACCGAACATACGTGCAGACACTTGATTTCTTTTCTTGTATTTTCTGAACATTGGACGCCTTCCATATTTCAACCAGTTATATATCTATTAATTTGTGAAGTTATACCAAAATCTGATTAATAGATATTATTCACCTCCATCTTAACTTTTACTCTAGAAAACATTAAAACCAACGGTCAGAAAAGTCATATTAAAACTCGAAAAAGTTCTTCTCCAAGTTATTATTAAGAGAATGCTGAATCTCTTTTTGCAGTATATGTTTGTTTTATTGTCCGTTGTGGCCTGTGGGGAATCATTTGTTGGGACTCGGTCCCTCAAACAATCAATTCACGTGGAAGCTTTGCCGGTACCGGTCAGCACAGAGATAGAGAAGAAAGAAAACACACAGCAGTTTTAGCATGAAAAACCTTCTCCAATATTGTGGAGAAGTAAAAAACACGGGATACTAGTCGAGATCAAAATTTTACTATGAAAATGATGGGTTACAAAAAATCAAACTTCACCAACAGTGGTAGTACACTCAAGCTTCACCTACAATGGTGGTACACTCAAACTTCACTTATAATGATCGTTCTCTTAAACTTTACCTACAATGGTGATATTTTCTCAAACTTTTCTAAAGAGATTTCACTTCAAACTTCTCTTAAGAAGATTTTTCTCACACGTTCTCTAAGTTCTCAAGAGCTTTCTCTATATCTTTTTACATCTCTTCTGTTTTTCTTCCAAAGGTCTTCATAAGTATATATAGATGAGGATGAATCTTCTTTGATTAGGTAGATGGGTAGCATTTCTTGAGCCTTGCACCTAAGCAAGGAATGCCTTGAACCTTGCATCAAGGAAAGGAATGTCTTCCACCAAGCATCAAGGAAAGGAATGTCTTCACCAAGCATTAAAGGAAGGAATACTTACCCAACATCATTTTCATTGCATATATAGCTGGTCAAAACTTGAAGAGAAATATTTGCGATCTAGGTACACCGAATTTAATAACTAGCAATGCTTCAACAATTTATTCTGTTTTTTTAGGAGATGAAAAAAGTAACCAAGGTGAATTATAATTTATAAGACGAACATATTTTTATATTCTTTTTATATATATCTCTCAATCTGAATCATATAAAACGGACATATTTTAACAGTTTAACAATATTAACCAATACAAGGTAGATGCTAAAATTGGGCTTTCTATTATATAGATTAATTTAGTGAAGTTATTATTCTTATCCTTCGTATGCTTGATTAATCTCCTCTTTCGTGAATTTCCTTATAATTAAAGATATTCAAATTGATTTTTGGATATTTACGACACCAGAACAAAAATTCCGTTCTGATATCTTTTTTTTCCTCTTTTGATTCGCTCACAAATCTAGCACTCATTAGTTACAACAGAATCAGTAACATGCATAAATAAACACACATCGCAATGGCTCTCCATTCAATTCGAAGTTACCAATCAACCACTGTCCATATTTAGCACATCTCAACAAATTCCATTGTGTGATATTCGAAAACAGACACAACTTTTCACCAACAGATCACCCCTTATATAAAGCTGAGGAAGGTTTTAGATCAAAGCAAGACATAGCTAACATAGTAGACATAGCATAGCCCACGTAAGCCATCCGCAATGGCCTTGCGAATTTCCTTCTCAATTCTTTCCATAGCACTTTTAGCTTCATGCATTTCGGCAGAGGAACGTAAGATTTGTAATTAATCAAGCTTAACTTACTTTGGTTCACTACAATGAGCCATCTCAGTTTTTTCAACACAAATTGTTGTTACACATATTTTGTTTTGCTAAAAAAAATGAGTCGTGTTTTTCTTAAGCTCTGAGAGTTTGGTGTTTGGTTTAAAATTTTCCAGCAGCCTCAATGCTCTGGGAAGTTCTAGTTTTTTTGTTATTCTTAAATTATGAGGATCAAATTAAATTATGTTGGTATTACTTGCTAATTTTTTATAATTGTGGAAATTTTTTCTGTCTCACTAGATTCGGGTGATTTTGGTTATAATGGTCCAAATGGTCCTGACAAATGGGGAAGCATAAGTCCATCTTTCGCAGCTTGCTCAAATGGGAAAGCTCAGAGTCCAGTGAACATTAGGAAGGCTAATATTGTATTGAACAAGCAATTGAAATCCATAGACAGAGAATACCATCCTGCAAATGCCACTCTGGTTAACAACAAAGTCAACATTGGGGTTTGTTCTTGAACTACCACATCACTAAATATTTTGTGACAATACATCATTACATGACAATTTAAAATATTTTTATAATGACAATCCATTAAAAAACCAACAAGCCTGTATGCAAACATTAAATGTGTATATGCCATTTTGTTAAGGTTGTCAAGGAAGTTCCAGTATCAACTAACATGCTTATAATTTCCATCCGTAGGTTCATTTTGAAGGAAAAGCAGGACATGTTATTATAGAGGGAAAAAAATACTTCCTCAAACAAATGCACTGGCATTGTCCATCAGAGCACCGAATTAATGGCAGACAGTAAGTTACTTCTCTTCGCTCGCTCCCTCTCATTCCAGACAGTAATTATCTGGAAAACCTTACAAGTAATTTTTATATAACTTTCATCACCACGTGTGGCAATATAAATTTAACCATTAGATTATATATGTCAATTAAGTTCTAAACAAATTGATTATGATTAACTCAAAAATGAAGATTCCATTTCCTTTACAATGATATTGAGTCTTGTAAATACAGATATGATGCTGAGCTCCATCAAGTCCACGAGACCGAAGATGGAAGCTTAGCAGTTGTGGGAGTGCTCTACAAAGTTGGACGTCGTCCGAGTCCTATCATATCCAAGGTAAAATTGAAGTCACATTCACTCATGTTATAAATTATTGGTTTAACCAAATGATGATAGTTCACTTGGAGTCAGGAAACTGAGCAGGTGGGGATCAGAACATGTGTTCGATTTTTTCAATTATCATCTTTTTAAGGGTTTAAAGTCTTAATCTCGAAACCCGCCCCGAATCAAACTAGTTATGAAGAGATGAACTGATTGGAATATCTAAAAAAAAAAAAATTATTGGTTCAGATTAAGCATAGAATAGTAATTGGAAGCTTGATAGTAGATAACATTAACATGTGATTCATGGGTTCAGATTGAAGACAAGTTGGTTGAGCTGGACAAAGAGAACCGTGCAGGCCATAAAGAGGCCCATATAGCTCTTGGTACCTTTGGTTTAGAGAAGATGAAGGGAAGAACCAGCAAGTATTATCGATATGTTGGTTCTCTCACCACTCCTCCATGCACAGAGGGGGTTAATTGGAACGTCAATGCCAAGGTAACTTCTTAATTATATACTTAGAAAACTATATATATGTAAATTACGAGAATTCAATTCAAGTGTGAGTGGTAAAGTTTCATATATCTGAAAAAAATGTGTAGTAAGAAAAATATAAGTGAGAGGATCATAATACTGTTATTGTAATGCCTTATAAGGGAGAGGGACAAGTTTTCGTTTTTTTGGCAAAAATTGATGAGGCTAAAATTATTTGGGCATGCAGGTGAAATCACTTTCCAAGAAACAACTAGAGCTCCTAAAGGCACCATTGAATCCAGAGTTCAAGTACAACGCAAGGCCAGTGCAGCCACTGAATGGCCGCAAAGTTGAGATGTTCTATCAGTGCAAGCAGAGGCAGTGAAGTCAAGAATCCTGATTAACTAAGTTAATTAGAGGGTAATTTCTATATAAGTATTAATGTAATCGTTGGATATAAGAGTCCTACTCTGATTGAACTGCTTCAACAGGAATGTTAGGACTTTTTTTTTAGTTCTGTACACCATTGGAATCCTCTAGTAATCTAAGATTGAGGTCAATGCCTTTCGTTTTCAGTTGTATGCATTTACTTCTGCTTTTTTGGACTTCATTAACAGTCATCATGTTGATTCAATAGAATCAATCGAATGATTGTACTTAGTAAACGCAACGTGTTTCAGACTTAGTCGTTCTTTGAAGCTTCCTGTCTAACCAGTCAAAACCTTAGTCGTCAACCTCCCCTGGAATTAGTAGACATATGTGGGTGGAACAGGAAATAGGAGCACTACTTAGAAGGTCCAAGGTCACAAAAATATCTTGATACTGTGTAAGTTTAGAATCAGATGCATCTCTGTTGGCTCATTTTCGGTGGAGCAAGATTACCTATTCTTTTGCCATAAAATGAAAAAAAAAAATATGGGATATAAATAAAAAGGGAAATACAAGTCTCGTGTTACAGGAGACTTGTTATCTCATGCTATAGACACAAAGCATGTGGGACCCACTCTTTTTAAAAAAAAATAAAAATAAAAATAAATGCTAGCACAACTTTTGATGTATGAGTAGGAAGGGTATGTTATCTCATGTAACATGAGAAAAACATATCCCAAAAAAAAATAACCATAGAAATAGGAATAATATAAAAGTATTATTTTTTTTATATTTTATAAATGATCTACCAAGTACTCATACAATAGTTGCACTAAAAATATTTTCCTACCATACACGGCACAAAATGTAATAAATATAATATCTTATATTAGGAGTATCCATCAACCGATTCAAATCGTGTTGACTGAACCGAAAAATCAATAACCAAATTAACTGAAAATTAAAAAATATTAAAAAAAAAACCCACATATTTTTAATTGGATTAGATCAATTTTCAGTTTGATTACTATACCAATTCAATCTGTTATGTATTTATTATTTTTGAAATTCCGCTAATGCCTTTTTCCTTAATTCAGTAACTCTTAACTCTTACTTAGTTACTTCCTTCATAGCAAACTATCTTGTTTTAGTTTTTTATTTTCTATGCATCTATTTTTACTCTTTATGACTTTTAAGACTTATTTTAGTTTGAAGACTGAAATTTTTTAATAGTTTGTAAAGTTGTATGGCTTCATTTCGATATAGCTAGTGATTTTGGCTTAAATTTTAGACTTTTTGAAAAATCGAAAATCGATCTAATTCAAACTGAATAAAATTGGATCAAATTTGAAAAAAAATCTAAAACCGAATAGATGATTAAATGATCAAATTAACCAAAGAGATTGAATCAGGTGATTTTTAATTCAAAATTGATCCAATTCAGACCGCGAATAATCCTGCATTTTAGTAATTTTTTTGTACTATTGAGATTCTAACATTCTTATTCAAAATCTATTTATTTTTTTGGTAGACTCAAACTCTAATTTTTTATTTGTTTATGATTTTTTTAATTTGTCTTTATTTAAAACTTTTAAAAAAATTATTAACTATTTTATTATTTATTCTCACCTTGATTAACTTTACTTCTAAAATCCTTCTTTTATCACTTTGTAGAGTTTCTTAAGATGTTTTACCTTCAACATACTAGTGAGTTTGAAAAGTTGCAAAATATGCATAATAAGTAAGGGGAATTGAAACATTAAAAACATAATTGAAGTATCAAACCTACTCAAATTGATAGAGTACAGCTTGTCTATCAGGTCTTATGATGATGTAAGTTGATTTTATTAATGATTCTAAATTATTTGATGAAAATGAAATCAACGATTAAGATTCACTATATATAACTTATTATAACCAAATATTATTGATCTTAAGGTTTTAGGGCATGATAAAAATAGGGAAGAAATAAAGAGGAAAAAGAAAATATCCCTGTATTATCATAAACGATGTCATTTTGGCTCCCTCCAACTACTCTTGCCACATCTGCGTGATCCTTGTCACATATGCGAAAAATTGCCACACCTGTAGTTTCATGAATGTTAATTGTCGCCCTTGAACGAAGGGACGAAATTGATCGATAAATGACATGTTCAAGGACTAAGAGACAATTTCGTTCTTTTAATTCCATATCTTTCACGAACCAATTTAATTATTTACTTAAAAAAGCCCAAAAAAATTCGTTTAGTTGAGTGATGGCCCAAACTAGCTAGTAGCTACGCCTGGCAAACATGATTCAACAGTAACTTACCATATAAACTATGATGTACTGCACTTTAAAAACTAATGTGTTATGTTATCAAAAAAAAAAAAAAAAACTAATGTGTTACGTTTGATACTTTTTAACACTCCCGACATTTTAACATGTATTGTAGAGATTTAAAAAATGTTTGCTTTTTTTCTGCCGTTACTATAGATAAGTTATCTGCAGTAAGTTAATACGACGTCGTTTTGAAACGGAAATCATAGTATTTTTGTAATTTTAATTTATTTTAGAGTTATAATAGTCTTTATATTTATAATTTTTTAAGATTTCAATACCAAAACGACGTCGTTTTGGGAATAAATGCAGATAACTTCTCTGCATTAACTGCGGAAACATTTTTCCCTTTAAAAAATAGTTTAAAAATTGCGTTGCAATATGTTTTTAGTTTCAAATATTAAATTCGTTGGATTACGATTATCATTTTATTGAGTCTAATATAAATATTTAGAATATTTTATATTTTTTTGTAAAATCAATAGATATTATTAGTTTAATTTTATTTTTTATTAAATTATTAAATATAATATATACTACGTAAATTAAAAAAATTATTTAATATCAAAACACGCTTTATAACGTGTCAAAATCTATTATTTTTAAAAATTAACGTAATAAAATATTGTGTTGTATCATATTCTGTGTCACATATCAGTGTTGTGCAATATAACATATAAAGTGTTGCGTCTTGTGTCATGGATTTTGACAATTTAGGTAATTAAGACACAGAAATAAGGCTTGTGTTTCCTTGCTGGCGCCTGATGGGCGACGTGGTCGTACTCTTTTGGGGATAGTGATCATTTTGTCACGCTTTATCAAATTATTTATCAGACTATCACGCAAATAGTAAAAATTTTCGAAATGCCACGCAGCATAATTCATTACACTGTGCAGCGAATTATGTTTGCAAATAATTCGCTACACAGTGTAGCAAAATATGCAGTGTCAGGCTGCACAGTCAGCAAAAATGACACGTGCCAAGCTGGCAGCATAACAGGCATAATTCGCTACACACCCCAGCGAATTACTGTCAGCTTGACACGTGTCATTTTTGCTGACTGTGCAGCCTGACACTGCATATTTCGCTACACTGTGTAGCGAATTATTTGCAAATATAATTCGCTGCACCGTGTAGCGAATTATGCCACGTGACATTTCGGAAATTTTTACTGTTCACGTGGCAGTCTGGTAAATAATTTGGTGAAACGTGACAAAATTGTCACTCTCCCTACTCTTTTAGTGTCAATATGGTTCCCCCTAATACCTTCTACGTCTAATACGGTCATTCCATGATCATATCTTCGAGTATAGGTATAGGTATTTATTTATTAAAAGTTAAAAAACATAGAACTTAAATAATATTAATCATAAATGGAGCGAATAAATAAAATTAATTATGATTTTTTTTCAATTTTATTAAATGATATTTTCGTCATTCTATCATCAAGATCATCAATGCAAAGATTTGATGGTAAGATAGTTCAATTTCTTAGTACAACTTTTATTTATTTATTTTTGGTATGAATTTGGAGGTATTCATTCAAGTTCCTCTGGTCACCTTGTCTTCGGAATATAGTCTCAAAGGCTACTTCCTGATCAGTACAGAGGATGCATGAGACTAAAAGAGCTTAAAAAAAGAAGTTAAAAGTTGTTTGAAAATTACATAAAAATTTTAGCTTAAAAATTACTTAAAAGCACATATTTCAAAAAAATTAGCTCTCTCTATCTTTATCACTCTTCATTTTTTTTAAAAAAAGCACACAATTCAAGAAAAACAGATAAGAGCTTAAAAAAAAGCTCCTCCTAGGAGCTTTTAATTTTCAACTTTTTTTTCATTATAAAAAAAGAGTTTTTCGTTATAAGAGCTTTTTCCAAAAGCTGTTTGGCCTAACTTATGCTTTTAAGTAGCTTCTAGCTTAAAAATAAGAGGATCCAAACAGGCACTAATTCCCTTATCAAGAAGAGAAGCGTTTCCTATGACCTCCAAAGATTTTTCTAGAATTTGCTTAAACCAAGATTTGAACCCTTGGCCCAAGGAAACTCTTAGTAGCTCAATTGTGAATTGAGCTACCCTTGGGGGTTACAACTTTTATTTTTTAATACATCGTACAACTTTTCCAACTCGCATGAAATATATAAGGGTTTGTTTTTTCTGCAGTTACTGTAGATAAGTTATCTGCAGTAAGTCAATACGACATTATTTTGGGACAGAAATCATGGTGTTTTTATAATTTTAATTTATTTTAGGGTTATAATAGTCTTTATATTTACAATTTTTTAAGATTTCAATACCAAAATGACTTCATTTTGTAAATAAATGCAGATAACTTATCTGCATTAACTGATAAATATTTTTGCCAATATATAAAGGGAGTTATTAATTTCATGTTAAATGAGATAAGTTATTTCATGTCATAGAGACAAAACTATAGAACCCGCTATTTGTAAAAAATAAAAATGCTCGTAGGTCCCATCTTTTTATTAGTGTAGGACAAAGAACTTATCTTCTTCAACATAACAAAATGTTTTGCCATGTATAAATCTGCGTACGATGATGCAAACTCTGTTACCTTTGATTTCTAACCAAAATTATAGAATCGGTGACTTACGGGGGCGTTTGGCACATGTGAATTTTTTTTTTACCAAGGAAATGTGATTACTAAGGATCTGCAGGAAAAATAAGTTAGATAAGAAAGTTAAAAATTGTTTGGTTGGGCAAAATATTATTGGAAAAATTGAGTAAAATTCTTGAATTTATGTTTGGTTGAAAATAAAATATTGATGGAAAAACATGCTGAAATTACAAAATAACCTTTTACAAAATAACCCTAATGAAAACTAATGTTGAAGTCATCAAATGGTAGTTTTGACATCTCCCACGTTCGTCTTCTTCACTTAGCTAGCTATAACTCAAATACCACCCTCCAAGTAGGATTTGAGCACCATGTTTTTGGTCCAATTTTGCATACAAAGTTCAATTGCTAGACAAATTTTTAAATAACCTCTATCAAATATGAACAAACCACTTATCTACTTTCGAATACCTAGCAATATTTCAAGATGACATCTAACAAATACACCTAAAGGATATCACATTCCCCTTGCAACCTTCTGCTTAAAAAATATAAAAAATAAACTAAATTCTTAATTTTTTATTTTTTTTTTAAATTAGCATGTCACTAAAATTTCTTGAAAAGGCGCGCTTTTATCTTAGAAGGAAAAAATGCTAATCTCTTAAAAATCAACGTGTCACTGTAATAGGTGGGAAATGCTTTTTCAATATTTTTTCTACTATTATAGTAACTGTTCCTTAGAGTTATAAATCAATATAAATTATTATTTTCTGATTATATTCAAAGTATTGGGGCATGTAAACTTGTTGTCACAAAATTCTCGCATCAAACATCAATATATAACACGCTAGCGTAACCGATGGGATAAATTATAATATGATTAACGTAAATGGGAAGATAGTTTAAACAAAATTATAAATTTAAACTATTGCAATTACTACAATGTCTTTTACATTATAACTTTAGTTAAAAATAAATATTTTTATTTTTAAATTCTTAAAAAGTGCATTGATGATATTTGTTCATTTGTTTTTTTTGTTAATGTACATTAGGAACCTCAAATGGGCCACTACCGTTTAAATATGGATCATTTAATTCATTACAATTTTGTGTAGGCGCAGCTACTGTCTAGAGTTCCAGGAACAGTGAAACCATATTCAAACTTGATTGTTTAGCTAAATATGGAGAAAAACCGGCAAACCCATGCCCAGTGAGAAAATTAATATAATTATTGAAACAAATGATAGCAAATTTACAGCAGCTCACTTTAAAAAAAAAAAAAAAAAAACACTCATTATATGTCTATATTTACAAAACTTTGTTTCTATAATAATAGAATAGAGTGAGAAAAACACCCAGCATATTCAATCACAGAATAAAAATAAATAGGATGTCCTTTCCAACAGTAGTAAGTTATCAAGTCTATTTCGTTGTTCAACGTGCCACGTCACCATGGAACGACTTCTAACGCTATGGCCCCACACATAAGACTCGCCAGTGGCGAGATTTTTATATCGATTGCTTGACCGAATGGCGAAGGGCCCCACTTCGTGGTTGTCATCGCCGAAACGCTGACCTTCACCAATGCTAATGTGCCACGTGGATTTCTGGATCACCTACTCCCCACGACTCAGACCGCCTCCCAGACGTAAACCGCATCATACCACCCAAACCGGGCGGTTCACTCTCAGACACGCTATTTCTCGAGACCGACTCCGCAAACGACATGTCGTTCACGCTTGCCGTGCTATCTCGCTTGACGCTCTTCGTTACAGTTGAATCCGCCGCCGGAGTATCGGTTTTCCGGTCGAGTTTTTCCCTGCGACCGGAGCGAAAAATAGCACGAAAATTGTCGAAGAAACCAGGTTTTTTTCCGCTTTTCGCCGGTTTTTCTTTGGCGACTGAGGCGGCGGCGGCAGTGTCTGTGCCGGCGGAGGACCTTCGGCTATTTCTCAACCTGCGATTTCGATCGCGCTTTGATCTGACCCTCCCCATGCAAGACACCTTCGGCGAGGACGGTTCGACGAGCGAGGACCCGGTTTTCCCGACGGACACGGTCCGCTTCGGGAACAACCTAATGTTGCTGGGCTTGTGGTTACGACGGTTCTTGGCGTCGACGAAAGAAGGTTTCTGAGGCTTAGGCAAGCCAATGATGCCTGCCTTGGACTTCAGATTCAAAGAGAAACGCTGAGAATTTGAATTGGAATTGGAGTTAGGGTTCAAATTGGTGGAATTGGAGTTACCCTTGGTGGACTCTTTCCGCTCGTAAACGGCGTTGCGATCCCACCAATCGTACTCCTCATCCCTCGAGAGCCAAAACGACTCCGGCGGCGAATCGGGGTGATGCTCCGGCTGATCCGTGTTGTGGTCGTCGGCGAGGGTCTCGCAGGCAATTTTCCGATCGCTGGATCCGCCGGCACACGCTGAAACCAGTGTTTCCAAATCCACCTGTAGCATCGCAGTTCTTGAACCCTCAGAATGGCTTATCGAAACAGAGAAAATGTCAAATTTATAGAGAGAGAGAGAGGTGTTATGTACACAAGAAGTAGGCAGGGGTAAAGGAACTGATTTAAAATTTGAGGATTGTGGAGTCGTGAGATGTATGAGGATGAGAGAGAGAATAACAGAGACTATATAATTTGGAGGGAGGGGTTTCAACTTTCAACTTCAACGTGCTTACTCATGCTATTGCGGTGGTTTTGTTTTGTTTTGAATATGACGATTGCCAACTATTCATGTTCAATAATGAAAATATATTAAATTATATTATAACATATTTTATTGTATTTTATAAATGAATGCATATCGCTGATTCGCCTTTTATAATTTATACTTTCTATGGAGAGAGAAAAAAAGAGGGAAGAAAAGCATCATTTTCTTTTTCTTTTTCTCCTTGTAAGCAGCATTCGAAAGCAATTGGGGAAACGGCATAGTCTACTCGTTGTTGGTTTGCAATTTGCATATTTTAAAACAATGGGTTCAAACTTGTTACTTCTTACAAGTTCTTACTTGTTCTTTTTTTCCTTTTTTCTTTTTTTAATTGTTGGTGTCTTCTTTGTCATGGCTCGCCCAAAGGCTTGGCTCTTCAATTTACTTGCTAGTTGGTTCGTTGTCGTCGAACTCGATGTTCCATTTTTTAATGAGTGAGAACTTGCCCATTAACGATGCATAATAGCTAGTGCCTATGACATGGGTGACCTAAAAAAGTGCATAATAATGAGCTTCGTTATATGTTAATGTTGGTGGAAGCTTATAACTGTTTTCCTTTTTCATTAGAATATGACTTCGAGTATGGCTATTAATTACAAAATGGAACTTCGAGTATGGCTATTAATTTTCAAGATTTTATAATTTAAATCAATTGATTGGCATGGTATCTTAACAAGATGGCAATGCATATGCACATGGAAATGTACACACTCGAAATAAATTGTTACGTTGAGGTTTCATTTTGTCACACAAATATTTCTTTCGTTGTTTCTCTCTTTGAGCATTATTTATAGGTATGATAATAATTTTACCTTTCTCTTGATATAAGGGAAAAGATGGAATATATACAAGGATTTGAAAATTTGAAAAGTCGTTTCTCAAATTTTAATCACAAATATGTTTAATTTTGATATCAGTGTAATCTTTATCTTATATTTAATGATATGTTATATTTTTTAAATAATCTATTATCTTATACAACTTATATACAAACATAATCAAAATTGTTTCTTAAATAAAAAAATATATGAAAATTATATCAAAATTAAACTCTTATAAAAAATACTTCCAATTTTATACAAAAGCCATAAAAAAAACCGACCGAGATCATCTGATATGCACCCCGCAATTATTATGCAACATTAATCACCGTGTCTGCCTGATGATTGATGGAAATTGAATGTATGATCGGTCGTTGAGGGGATAATAAAGGCTGTACTGCTTGTGCTAAAACGTTAATCCTATTTTATTTTTAGTCGAATTAAATTTGTAAATTTCTGGCCGACAACCTTATAGGAAATTATTATAACATTGACCTTAGAGAAATCATTTATTTTTATACCAAAGACAATTTTATTTTTATTTGTTTGTAAAAAAATGACTATTGGTGGATTAGGTATTCTTTTCTCTATTGCATTTCGCTAAAGTAAAAATAAGATAGAAGAGAAAACTTTTCCAACAAGTCAACATTAACTTTAGCATACCAAAGATGAGAGGGATTATATTGACAAACTTTTTTTCTTATAAACTTACAAATTATATTAAATAAGATTAGTCAGACTTCAATCAAAAGTGTATGATTAGTCAGACTTAAAATCCGTTTGGATGAGCATTTAAAAAAAATGACTTTTTATACATTGTTTTTTTTAAAAAGTACTTTTCCTAAAAGATAAAGTTATTTTACGTTTGGATGTATGATTTAAAAATCACTTTTATATAAAAAAGTTATTTGGATGTTAAAATAAAAAAAGCACTTTTTATTTATAAAATTACAATAAAAGAGAGATAAAATAGCGCATGATCATTAGAGGTGTGTAAAATAACTAAAAAATTGAACCGATCTAAATCGCCCTTAAAATAATCGGTTTTCAAAAATCAGTTCATGAACCGAACCGATTTTTAGAACCAGTTTAAGAACCGGACCATTTTGAACCGAACAAAACCGTTTTCAAACCAAACCAAATTGTTTTTTATAACTATATTTTTAATTTTTAATTTTTTTCAAATTAGGGTCGACCCCGAACCGAACCACTTTTGAACTGAACCAGTTTTGAACCGAAACGAACCATTTTCGAACCAAATCATTTAAACCAATTCGGTTCAATTTTTCAAAAAATTCGGTTCTGTTCGACCCATGCACGTCCCTAATTATCATGGGATAAAGAGATATAAAATCGGGATTTTACCTAAAATCGGAAGGAGAATAAAAAATCGTAAAACGTAAAATCAGTAAAAGCGTTTGAAATTTCAATAAAATCGTTTTGATTAAAAAAATCGTAAAATCGCAGATTTAAATTAAAATTTTAACTACGTGGGTATGATAAGATGAGGTTAAAATTGTATTTTAAAATTTTATATTATCTTATTTCCAAAAAAATAAATCTATATTATCTTTTTAATTTCTGTTTTTTTCAAAAGCAATTAACTAGTGGCTAAAAAAAAGCAGCATTTTAACTTTTATTTTAAATTTTGCTTTTTTAAAAAGTTGTTATCCAAACATCTAAAAATTCTCAAAAAGACTTTTATTAAAAAAAAACAATTTTTTTTAGGAATAAAAGCCCATCTAAATGGACACTTAATATTATTTGTAAGTTTGTAATAAAAAAAAGTTTGTCAATATAATCTTTCTCCAAAAAAATATAAGGTGTGTTCTGGAATGAACATTAATTGTCTAGCAGTATAGTTAGTATTTGTATCTACGGAACTTATGGTAAAGATGACAGGCAATGAGAAGTCCTGTACCTTAGGCCAAAATCCGATGGTATGAACAAGGGGTGTGTGTGTGAGTCACCTGCGGTGGATAGAATGTGCTCTGGGCACAAGTATGTAGGTTGTAGCCATGGTGGACAGGATAAGTTATCAGATGAGTTCCTAGATGAGTTATCAGATGATCTCCTTTGTTAGCTATAAGGGGTTATATATAGATGAATGCACTAGGAGATTCTACCCCTAGTGGGTAATTTGCAGGTGACTTAATGACATGATGCAATGCTTAATGGGTGGTTATTGATAGTGGATGTAAGTTATGGGAGAGTGATGGAATGAGATGCTCCATGTAGTGGGATAGAAAGTGAGTACCACATAAGTGATCCACAACAAGGTGATTTCTTAAATTCTTATTTGGTGAGTTCCGTTAAGGGTTTTAATTTAAATCCAGACCCACTTATGAATTATGATTAGGACAAAATTTTTGGGTTTGAGTTGTCGATTGCGTGAATGACGCGGTTTACAAAGAACAAACTTATACTCTCCCTATCATTCCGGCAAATTTTGTCTTGTATTACTATTAATTATTATTATAAAGAAGAAGGTACAACTTAGACATACATTTTAACAAAAGCTGAACAAACACAAATAATATATATTATCACTGCATACATATGAAAGTTTGATCTTGTGACAGCGTGTTCGTGTTTGAGAGTTCTACAAATGAAAGTTGTGACTTGTGACAACGTGTTCGTGTTTGAGAGTTCTACAAATGAAAGTTTGCTAATTAGACATAAGGTGGGGTGTATACTAATATCTGAAAAAATAAGAGTACAGATAAAAAATAAACATATCTAAGACAACCCCTTAATATTTTTTTTTTAAAAATGCCCTTAATTTCTTACATGGCAGTGAGATCTCCGAAAAGTTAAGATAGTGAGTTACGTCCGTATTTGTAAATCTAGATGCTTCCTTGGTCCAGAAGTCCAGTAGTATATTTATAAATTTTTATTAAACTAATGTTTTTTTAAAAGGACTACACGTACGTTCAACGGGGAAATAAATCTGAGGTATTATATATAAGTAGAGTTATACTGATAAATTTTTTTTTTATAAATTTACAAACTATACTATGTCTGACCGGTAATATTCTAATCAAGAGTGTATTATCAGACCGATAATACTTTATTCAAAAATGTATTATCGATCAAATATAATATAATTTATAAGAGTTCGTAAACAAAAATTTTATAAATATAACTTTATTCTGTGCAAACAAAAATTTGTGACTGTATTTAAATTTCAATAATCCAGCATATGAAGAAGAGTTAGTTAGTAAGTTAGGTGTCTGCGATGAGTTAGTCATAAAGTTAGGTGCACCTGACCACATACGCCCACGCATCGTCCAATCCTTCTCGTGTATTGATACACTTAATCACGTTGACAATGTCAAAACACTTACTTTAATGCTTGTAAGATAAGGATTAGTTTTACAAACAAAATATTAATAACAAAACACAAGCGCACGACTCCAATCAACAATTCCACAAGGCCCCAATATATACAGCACTATGGAGTAACGTGGTATAAACTAACAGAGTAATACTTTGAAGCTATGTAACCAGTTAGCCTATAAGTATTCACAGAACTAAGTTTAAGGCTGGAAAGTTATTTTATGTATTTTTTATTTTAAATTTATTTCATATTATATATTTCAAAGAAAACTTATAAACATTTAAAATAACTAATTTTTATCGTTGGATCAAAATTAAATTCATGTTTACAAAATAACATCAAGTGAGAAGTGTTAATTTAATATTAATCCAATAGCAACTAATTGATTATAAGAAATTGTAAGAAATTTTTTTATAAATATAACATACTTTTAAAATTACTTTAAAAATATATGTAATTTTTTAATATTAGTTGACTCAAAGCACATAATATATATACTTTAGGTATATTAAGAATAGGCTTTGATTTTTTCGTATTGTGATTTTTTTTTGATAGACTGTATTGTGATTTAATTAGTGGTAACCTCATACTTATTAAAAAAAAATTACATACAAATAGAAGGATCATAATATAAGAAAATATTTCTCATATAATATGAGAAGTGATTTTTCCATTAAGAATTCTCCAATTTGGAAAATTATATTAACTTTATTTATTAATAAATTCAAAAGTTAAAGTGATTGACAGGCTCTATTATTATTCAAGACTAATATATGAAAACATAAATGAA